TTTTGCATTTTTAGTAGAGACGGGGTTTCACCATGTTGACCAAGATGGTCTCGATCTCTTGACCTCGTGATCCACCCGCCTCGGCCTCCCAAAGTGCTGGGATTACAGGCTTGAGCCACCGCGGGGCCAGCTCTTCCTCTGTTCTATGTGTTACTGTGTTGCCTGAATATGGAGGCTACAATGAGGGAATCAATCACTCTCCTGTAACTGTGTTGCTTGCGTTTCTTTGGTTGGGGTAGTTATTGCAGGGTGGGTGCATTTTTACTCTGACATCCTGGAATGGTAAAACTACTTTCCTGGATGAGAAGTGTCGAACTATCAGTGTCCAGAAAAAACTTAGGGCAGACTAGAGTAGAATCTAAATACAAGAGACTAGTGGTAGCTCTGCAAAGTTCAAAGGAAGAAAATAATTTCAGATTATCTGGGAAGAGAACGGTAGGCCATGAAACAGCAAAGTCCAGCCAGCAGAGATAGGCAGGGAAGGTCTTTTTTCCATACACAGAATGGCACTACATGCTCAAGTCACTTACCACTTGCTTCAAGGTTCTCCTCTTCTTGTTCTTCTGCTTCTTCATCGCCCTCGGTTTTGTAATAGGACTCCCACCCTGACATGTTGGCTACTGCTCACTAGGCGAAAGATGTTAAAGTCAGTAACAGTAAAATTTAAACTGAAAAAATACCGACCTCTAGGTTCTCATATTTTTTTTTGTTTTTTTGAGACAGAGTCTCGCCGTCACCAGGCTGGAGTGCAGTGGAGTGACTTCGGCTAACTGCAACCTCCGCCTCCCGAGTTTAAGCGATTCTCCTGCCTCATCCTCCTGAGTAGCTGGGACTACAGGCACGCGCCACCACGCCCAGCTAATTTTTGTATTTTTAGTAGAGACGGGGTTTCACCATGTTGGCCAAGATGGTCTCGATCTCTTGACCTCGTGATCCACCCGCCTCGGCCTCCCAAAGTGTTGGGATTACAGGCCTGAGCCACCGCGCCCGGCCGTGAGATCTGTTCTAAAGGCTTGGTTAGTAGTGAGGAATGTGGACGATGGATACTGCTACCTCGAGAGCTCAGCAGTCGGACTGCATTGGTAAATGCGCCTGGGGGCCATCTCAGTAGCAGCCTCATCTCAGTTATCCCTCACGTTTCAGGGCCCGCGGCGGCCCGATCCCAGAGGTCCCGCCCCCGGCGCCATTTGGACGTTGAGGGATTCCCGCTCCGGGATTCTGTGCTCTCTAACGAACCCCCTTGTCCTCAATACCGACCAAAAATCTCCCCAAATCCCTCAGACGATCACACCCAGCGAAGTCTCAAACGCAGACAGGCCTCAAACCCAGGCAGGCCTCAAACGCGCGGTGCCGCCTCCTTCGGAAGGAAGGAGCGTGGTCACGAGTCTGTCTATACACTTCGGAGTCGCACTCTTAAGGGTAACGCTAACTCACCGGCAAGGCTATAAGAGCGCGCAAGACTGAGTGGGCGAAGCGGGACGAAGCCAGGTCCAGATGGCGAACAACACAAACGGATAACGGCCCACTTACCTTTGGCGCAGGGAAGCGACCAACTTGGACAGAAGACGAGAATGCACGCAGGCGCGGGCCCAGTTCTCTCTCCCAATCGACGCTCCCTACGTCATCACGCATGTACGCACTGCTTAGCGCCGGGCTTGCTTGCACATTCCCCAACCAGCTTCTACTTACGTCACTGACGAAAGCCAACCCACCAGCGGAACCCCGCCCCCTCCCGCAAAGCCCCGCCCCCGCTTGCGTCAGGACTGTACGCACATGCGCTAAAGTGCGTCCTTAGCCCCGTCCCCTCCCCCTCTTTCGTATGAACCCTCCCTGTCCCTTCTCTGTCACCTCACAGTAGTCTTTGCCGGTAGCGGGTGTGGAGGCGCAAGCAGCTCACGGCGGCCTCTTCCCCGCCCCTCTGGCCGGGCCTGGGCTCGGGCCCCCTCCTCCCTCCGCTTCCCACCCCCGTCGGGTACGGGAAGGTCCAAGCCGCTGCCGGGTGCCCGAGGGCCGTCGTGGCCGCCGTCGCCACGGGTCCAAATGGAGCCGCCGAATCTCTATCCGGTGAAGCTCTACGTGTACGACCTGTCCAAGGGCCTGGCCCGGCGGCTCAGCCCCATCATGCTGGGTGAGGGGGAAGGGGCCAGGTGGGCGGGAGGGCGGGAGCCAGGCCAGACGGTGGCGGCTGGCCGAGGTGGGGAGACACATGGCCCAGAGGATATTAGAAAAGCCCGAGTGGAGAAGAGAGTGGTCTGAGGCTTGGGCCATCTGAGCCCCGCTTTAGCCCCGCAGATACCATCCTAACGTTTGGATCCAGGGGGAAGGGATGGAGGAGTCACGCCTCCCCCTTGCAGGGGGCTCGGGCAGAAACCGAACCCTCGAAAGCCCCTTCGACGGGGGATAAACCAGCACTGGATCCCGGCGGGTTCCCTCCCTCGCTCCGGGAGCTCGGTGCACTCCTGCCTCCTTGGCGCGGTGTAGGAAAGATGAGGATGCCTGCCGCGCGGTGCCCCTCGTGGTGACAGAGACACTGCGGAGGTGGGGTGGCCCTCGGAGAACCTTGCCTAAGTGCCAAAAGGAAACTCCCTTTGCAGTCCCGGGGTTAGGTGGGATGGGGGAGATAGCCATCGCCCCCAGGTATGTCAAATCAGGACAACAGAAGCCTGGAACTCCAGAATTCATCAAGCAGTCTTCTCCCCACAGTTTCAAATGGCAAGAAAGCAGTTTTGGGGGAGAGATGGATGAGGTTGTGTCAATAAGGATTAGTAAGAAAAGTATTTCGGTTGTGCTCCATTAAATCAGCCCTCATTCAGTGACCATCAAACCTCATTCCAACTTAAATAGAGGAATGTCTTGAGTAACACAGGAATTATCAGGTTTGTAATCATGAGCAGGAAATAATTCCAATAATTGAAAATTGAAGTTTTGACAACATCCATTTGAATAGCTAGTTTTTCCTGGCTTCTGTGGAGACATTGGTGAATGATTTAGTTCATCTCTGTGAAACCAGGGGGCAGAGGTCAAGTAAGCCAGGCTACTTTTAAGGGCATCTTTCAATATCCTTGAGTTTCTAATATGTCATAGTTAATTGAACTTAATTTCACAACCGTGGGCCCATGAGTGTTTTCTATATTTGGCTTCACATCAAAATCATCTAGGGTGCCTGTTAAAAATGCAGATACTTTCATTTCCAACGTATATTGTTAAATGAGATTCAAAAAGACAAGGTTAGAACAGCTCTTTAAATATGCAAATCAAAGGATATATATGTGCTTGCTTAGGCAAATAATTATCCATAAGGATACACAGAAATTGGTAGCAGCAGTAACTTATGGAAAGGGGAACTTGATGTCAGGGGGACAAGAGTAGAAGAGAAACTTTGCTGTAAACTGCTTCTTACCTCTGGAACTGTGTATTACATACACAGACTATCTATTGAAAATGAAAATGAGAAAAGTTTTAATCACATGGATTCTAGAGCTTTACTTCACAAATACTAAATCAGAATCTCCTGGCATTTTGGTCCAAAAATCTCTCTCTCTATATATAGATGTATATATATATATATTTTTTTTTTTTTTGAGATGGAGTCTTGCTCTGTAGCCCAGCCTGAAGTGCAGTGGTGCCATGTTGGTTCACTGCAGCCTCCGCCTCCCTGTACCGGTTCAAGCAGTTCTCCTACCTCAGCCTCTCAGGTAGCTGGGATTATAGGCACAAGTCACCATGCCCAGCTAATTTTTGTATTTTTAGTAGAGACGGGGTTTCACCACGTTGACCACTCTGGTCTTGAACTCCGGACCCCGTGATCCACCCGACTCTGCCTCCCAAAGTGCTGGGATTACAGGCTTGAGCCACTGTGCCTGGCCAAAAAAAATCTATATTTTTAATGAGCTTCTTGCTAATTCTTTTTTTTTTTTTTTGAGACGGAGTATCGCTCTTGTTACCCAGGCTGGAGTGCAATGGCGCGATCTCGGCTCACCGCAACCTCCGCCTCCTGGGTTCAGGCAATTCTCCTGCCTCAGCCTCCTAAGCAGCTGGGATTACAGGCACGCGCCACCATGCCCAGCTAATTTTTTGTAGCTTTAGTTGAGATGGGGTTTCACCGTGTTGACCAGGATGGTCTCGATCTCTTGACCTCGTGATCCACCCGCCTCGGCCTCCCAAAATGCTGGGATTACAGGCTTGAGCCACCGCGCCCGGCTGCTTCTTGCTAATTCTTATGTAGCCAACCCATTATTTGACAGGGGTTTGGGCCTAGATAACCAGTTGTTAAAATGAGTAAGGCATATCTGAAAGCAAAACTTACAAAGTCACTGAGGAAGTTGTTACTCATTAATAGATTACATCAGTCAAGTTCTAACTAAACTTCTTGGAATGGAGCCATTTAGTTTTTTTTTTTTTTTTTTTTTTTT